GTCTGAAATACTACAAAAAAGCTCTCTTAGTAAATTTTCGTAAGACGAGTCTATTCTTTGTAATCGAGCCTTAAACATTGGTATATATTTTCAATTTTTCACTTTGTATTTGGGATTTCCAAAATGAACTTAAATATTAAGATTACAAATAATAGACTCGTCTTACGAAAATTTACTAAGAGAGCTTTTTTTGTGGAGAAATTTATTTCCTACAAGGATAAGAGATGAAAAATTTTTTTAAAATTGACCAAGTCCGAAATTTATGCAAAAACGCGACATCTGTTGAAAAATCAATAACTGCAATGATGCACCTCTTAATATTATTATTAAGGGCTCAAACTTTCAGGAATTTTTTTTTGTCGTCATGAACAATATTTTCATAGTTCCGCTAAAAAAAAATTGTTTTATTTTTTTGGCACAGTCTACTTTAGATGCATTGAGCCGTTGCTCTTGGGTAAATATTGATTTTAATTTTAGTATTGCATAGTATGCGCTGTTTAATTTTTAACAAACATTAGATATTTGGCTATCCCAACTCATATTGCTATCAATATGTATGCCCAAAAAAAACATCTGAGAGCATAATTTCTGCATTACTGACATTTATTTTACAATTCTGGGTAATTTAATTTCTGAAGTAGAACTGAAGGTTTTGTTTGAATTAACAATTAAAGAATTTCTATAATACCATGATGAAAACTCATTAGATAAAACATTTAATTTACTAATTAATGCATCTACTGATTGTGAGTTGGTGGCAATTGTTGTGTCATCTGTTTATAAAATTATGTTTTCTGAGTTAATATGATTAAGCATATCATTTATGTAGCATAGAAAAATTAGAGGTCCTAAAATTGATCCCTGAGGCACACCCATATCAACACTTTCTAGTTCAGATTTACAATCTCCAACGTTGACATAGATCTGTCTGTTATTTATATAAGATGACAACCAAGACAAAAAGTTATCTCTAAAACCAAGCCCTTCCAATTTTTGAATAGCGACATCTAAGTTGATTGAATGACACGCTTTTGATATATCAAAGAAAAGCGCACTCACGATAGAAGTATGTATGAAATTAAAAAGATCCATTGGTGCACTTTCAGTAGATTTTTCTGGAAGGAATCCATTTTGATTTTTGCATATTATTTCATATTTTTTAAGAAATATTAGCATTTTTTTGTGGGCACACTTTTCAAAGATTTTGCTTAGGATTGTAGGCACTGTAATAGGTCTATAATTATCAATTAATTTATTATCACCTTTTTTAAAGATAGGAGTTACATATCCTACTTTCAGATAATCTGGGAAAATACCTAGCTGAATAGACTGATTGATTAAGTCTGCTAGAATTTGAGAGATGTGATGACTAATATGTTTTATTATCTTTGTGGAAATGCAGTCAATGCCTATAGAGTTAACATTTTTTAATGAGTGAATAACTTCAATTACATCACGATGATCAACAGGAGAGAAATAAAAGGTCTGAGAGACACATGACTCAGTAAAATTTTTAAAATTCAAATCATTGAAATGAGACTGTAGTGCTTTTTTTGTGGAGGTGGCAAAATTCTCTGCAAAAACTTTAGCTATTTGTTTTGGTTCAATAATTGACAGTCATCCTACTTCAATTTGTTTAATTTGAGAACCTTTTGATGTTTTACCATCTTGGTGATTTACCTGTTTCCATATATGTTTTTGTTTTTGCTGAAAAGTTTTATTGTGCAATCCCTTTTGAAAATGAGATCTTTTTGCTCCATTTATATTATTGACATATTGTCTCTTTGCTTCTTTATATCTAATATGTATATTCACATCATTAGAATTTTTTACTAACCAAAATAAATTCCTTATATCAGCTCCCATCCTCAAAATATCTGGTGTTATCCAGTTATTTTTTTATTTGTCTTTACAGCTCTTGTGACAACCGGACAATTTACTTATATATAGTAATTTAGAATATTTAAGAATGTTGCAAGATTTATGTTATCAAAATATTCATACACAGAATCAAAATTTTCAGAACTTATTTTTTGCTGCAGATTAAGTAAATTCGTCTCTAAAATGTATTTTTTCATTGATATACTCAAGATTATTTTCAAAAAGTGCCATACGGTATCTAAGTATTAGTAATTGGCTTTTGTTTTTTGTGTTATACTCATGAGAAGCACATTCGGCAACATATATTGATCTGTTCTTATGAATGAAAGTACATGCTTCTAATATATATCCCAGCCAGTGTCAGAATTTTAAATTTTTAAAAAATTTTCTACATGAATCTCTTATTCTCAGTTTCGCAATAATTCTTATGGCATATTTTTGAAGAACAAAAACTCTTTGCTTGGTAGAACAGGTACCCCAATTAAGTATGCCATATTTCAAATGAGAGTGAAAATTTGCATGATACACTGTTAAGATGGTACATTTTCTACAATGATTGACAAGAAATCTAAGACTATAGCAACTTTTTCATAATTTATTACACAGGTTATAAATATGTGAATATTTTAATATTTTCTTCAGATATAATTGGATTATTAGTGTTTTCAAATAATTGGTTTTGTATAAATTGTCCATTATTATTAAATAACATTATATTAGTTTTAGTTTTGTTTAATTTTATGTTATTTTTTCCTACCACGATAAAGCTTGATTATAATTATGTTCTCTCTGTTGCTATTTTTAATGCATCTGCATTATTTTCGATAATTAAAATATCTGTCTCATCAGCATAACAAGTTGGGTATATTCCAGGAATATCATTCAAGGAAGTGTTTAGGTCATTCGCAAAAACTAAAAATAAAAATAGACCCAAAATCGATACTTGGGGAACCCCTTGTGAAACTTCCAGCTCCAAACTAGGAACATTATTCACTTAAACAACTTGATAAATATGATTCCAATGAGTGGTATACCTCTTACTCCATATTTAGACAGCTTAAGCAGTAAAAGTTTATGGTCTACACAGTCAAAAGCTCTAGAAAAATCAATAAATAAACCCATTACATGCTTCTTACTATCAAGAGATCTTACGATTTTAGTATGGAACTGTATCAATGCAGTTTCTGTACTCTTTTTTGAAGTATAACCATGTTGTGATGGCAATAACAGCTTAAACTTAGTGAAAAAATTACATAATTGATTTTTGATATTCAACTCATATACTTTTGAAAAAGTTGACAAAATACTTATTGGTCCATAGTTATTAATATCATTCAGATCTTCCATTTTGTAAAAGGCAATTACTTTAGCTAGTTTTAAAGAATCTGGAAAAATATCTGCAATATTATTTAAAAATTCTGTCACAAACTAAGCTATCTATGGGGGGTTTAGTCAGAATCACTTATCTGGTTACCCTGATCATATAATTTAAGTTGATTATTTGATTTGTTGTTCCCTTTTTGCAATTGCCCAATCACTTCCCAGGTAGCTTTAATCTTATTTTCAAAGCTTAAAATGATATTATCATAGTATTGCTTAGAGGCCTGTTCTAATCTAAACTTATAAGTATTTTACTAATTTCAACATATCGTCGATCCTGCTTAACAAGAGTATTATATACTGACACATTATTTTTTAATTCCAATAAATCTGCATTCCACCTATAGTTATTATTAGGCTTTTTATTTTTAGTTTCCGGTCTTCATGTAATTAACTTTTTTGGAAATGCAGTTTCAAAATAGGATAAAACAATTTTCACAAATTGATCATAAGCTAAATTGGGACAGGTCTGATCCAAAACACTAGTCCAATCTTCAGCCCCTAATAGATTATGAAAATGTTCTGTTATTTTCAGAAAATTAACACAAGACATATTTAAAGGTTGGTTTTTTGTTTCTTTCAGATAAATTCCTAGTGTGGACATCAATAAATTGAGAATAGTGATCAGATAGACAAAGGTCTACCACTTTTACACTGTACTGATTATTATTATATTAATATTAGGTAGAAAGTGCAAAAACTTTTGATAATATGTTATTTGTTTTAAAATATTGTTAATAGCTTGGAGGGTAACCAGTCATTTATTCAGTTTGAGATTATATTGGCCCTCATTCAGTATAATTTAGTGTTAATTTGCTCTTTGAAATAATAGGCTGCCTAAGTACCTAAAATTGGATATTTACATATTATTAAATTTAGGATGGCCTTGTTAACCTTAACTATATGGTGTTGGATTCATTTTATTTTGCATTGTTAAAGTTCTAACATGTATTTTGATAACAGTAGTTTCTGAACATATTTTTAAACGGTTAATTGCAATGTTAACCTTGGTTAAATAATATTTTAATTTCAATAAATTACTTAAATTAACTTCAATAAACTGTTTAAAATTTATAGGTAATATTACACATTATAATTTTAGGTTTTTGGACCCCAATGTCTTGGATTTAGAGGTTTTATAATGTTTTACAATTTAAATGTATTTCTCATCATTTGGTGAGAAGTGAAAATGGTTATGAACCTATTAATCCACTGAAATAAGGAACTTTAGAATCAGAAATCTTAAAAACTTAATATCTACCACCTAATATTTTTACAGCCATGTTAAAAAAATACTTTCGAACTTTGAAAAAGGAAATTATATTTTGTATCAAATGAACTCAAGACAATAAAATTTATATACATATTTAATTTAAAAAAATTTACTCATTTTTGAATAGATAGGAGACAACCATAGGTATATGTGACAATTTTGTGCTTTTAGAATCAACTTTTTAATAGGGAATTTTCAGTATAGATTACAATTGCAAAATTTTACAGAAAACAAATCATATGTATAGCTACGTATCTATTATTTACACCAGTAACAAAGTGTGAGACTAGAGTTATAACGATAATATAAAACAATGTAAAATTACTGTAACACAATTGAAATAAAAAATAGATGATAAGAATTGAACTTTGTTTCACTAATTTGAATATTAGGAATCAGTATTCTCACACAATTTTACTGATCATTAAAAGAAAAAAACTGTTTTTTAAAGGTCCTGTATACTCACTATCGCTATTTTTTGAAGAATAATCACTTAAAAAGGCTTTTCGTAGGTCTTCAATTTCACTTTGTGATATTACTATATCTACAGGAGTTGGAGTTTTGACCATTTTAAATGAATTTCATTTAGCGGTTAGTGAAAGGATTAAAAATTATTTTTAAACACGTATCAACGGTTCACTGTACAAAACTACAAAGTTGTAGAAATCGAAAGTATCAAGACTACAAATACAAATGAAAAAAGAAATATAAAAAACAAATAAATGTCAAAAATTGAAAACGTCAATTTTCAATGTGACCAACTCAAAAACACAAAATTCTAAAACATGATACTTTTACTTTTCGGATGTGTATTCGTTCGTACCATTTGTAATATTAAGGAGCTTTAAACTATTTGTAACTATGGGAATGTTCATTTTGGCTTTCAAACATAAATCAAATTTAAAATAAAAACTTTTTAATTTGAGTATTTTTTCTTCCATGAACCTTATGACAGGGCCGGCCCCAGGGTAGGGCGATCCGGGCGGCCGCCCGGAGCGCAATGATCTAGGGGCGCCAAAATCATGGAAAATGAAAATAAACTGATAAAAAAATTAAGTTACAGGCTTTTATAAATTGCACTAAAAAGTAAAGAATATTTTTTTATCATTCTGATATCATATCAATAAATTATGTTTCATAATATTGCAAACAAGATCTAACAGGCCTTTTTAAATGCATATAAAAAGGAAGTAGACTTAAAACAATGCATTATTTGCCACTAGACTTCGGCTGATGTTTAAATTGTTAGTACAAAAAAGCTTTAAAAATGTGCTTGTGCAAACTGTCCAGTGCGTTTGGCTTCTGTGAAGGTAAGTGTTTTTGTTGCATCATCTAGCCTGAGCGCTCTTGGCAATCGGGGATTTAAAGACTGGAAGCATTTAGGGGACTCTTTAGCACATCATGAAAATGCTAAAACTCATATAGATTGTTTGAAATCATAGCTTGAATTGAAGCAAAGATTAAAAATAGGTGAAACAATAGATGCAGTTTCTCAGAGACTCATTGATTCTGAGATAAATCACTGGTCTGAAGCTCTTCTACGCATTATATCAGTCGTTAAAATGATAGGTAAGAGCTCTCTAGCTTTTCGAGGAACAAGCGATAAACTGTATGAACACAATAATGGAAACTTTTTGAAGTTAATTCAGTTATCGGCTGAGTTTGATCCAAAAATGGAGGAACACGTTCGCAGATTCCTCAATAAAAAAGAAATCAAAGCTACATATCTAGGGAAAACTATACAAAATGAAATAATTGAATTATTGCATGACAACATAAAGCACCACATCATTGAGCAAGTTCAAAAGGCCAAGTATTATTATTCGGTGATTCTTGACTGTACTCCCGATGCAAGTAAAGTAGAACAGATGAAATTTGTGGTAAGATTTGTCTCCATACAGGAATCAGAGTCTGAAGTTCTAGCTAATATCAACGAACATTTTTTGGGTTTTCTACCCATTGAGAGATCAACAGCTAAGGAATTGTTGGTTTTACTAAAAGAGTTAGAGAAAAATAGGCTTAAAGTAGAAAACATGCGCGGTCAAGGGCATGACAATGGTTCCAATATGAGAGGAGAAAAATCGGGAGTACAAACTAGAATCAGAAATATAAACCCAACAAAATTTTATGTTCCATGCAGCAGCCATTCGCTAAATTTGGTTGTAAACGATACAAAATCCTCGTTTGAGGCAGCCAACTTCTTCAATATTGTTCAAAAGTTATATACATTTTTTTCTTCCTCTTCTTTTCGTTGGGCAATATTACTGAAATATATTGATACTTACACCCTAAAACCATTGAGTAATACGCGATGGGAAAGTCGAGTCGACTCATTAAAAGCTCTGCGGTTTCAAATTGGTCCAATTCACGATGTTTTGTACAGCATATATGAAGATTCAGAAATCGATAATATGATCAGAACGAGGCTAGCGAATTATTAAATAATTTGAAGCAGTTCAAATTTATATGCTCTGTTTTGATCTGGTACAAAATTTTGAGTCATAATAACCCCATCAGCAAACTTTTGCAAACTGTAAATTTAAATGTCACAAGCTATTGATATGCTTAGCAACTGCAAACTCTTCTTTGAAAACCTGAGATCAGATGAAGCTTTTGAAAGTATCATTTTAGAAGCAATCGAGCTTGCTTCAGAGATTGGCGGGAAGCTAATTTCGAAACCACTACACCACGTCATCGTGTCAGAAGCAAAACAAGAACGTTTTTGTATGAGGGCCCGGATGAACCCGTTCAAGACCTCAAACAAAAATATAAAATATATTTTTTTTCACACTATAGATCAAGCAATAAATGCCTTGGAAACCAGATATAATTTGCTACTCACAGTAATAATTTCAGCTTTTTGTATAATATTTTTGGTCTAAAAGAAATGAGCTACTGACTCATTGCAACGATTTGGAAGTAGTTTTAACTGATGGAAATTCAAGCGATCTTAACGCCCTGGAACTAGCCGATGAAATAAGCATTGTTTCGTCATTATTAGCAAAAAAGGAAACCCCTGTTGAAGTTCTCAAGTTTATCGCTATACTTAAATTCGCACCAAACCTCAGCATAGCATTAAGAATTCTACTTACATTGCCAGTCTAAAAATAATAAAAAAAATTATCTCACGCAAAATCGTCTCAATGGATTGGCAATGATAGCTATAGAATACCAAATTAGTGACAAATTAGACTTGAAATCACTGGTTCGTGAGTTTGTCGAAAGAAAAGTTAGAAAAAGGGCATTTTAATTACTTTGGTTAGTTAGAATTTATTTATAATATGGGATATTAGTTCAGTTAGCATTACTACATTTTAATTTTTGTTATTTTGCCTTAAGTGCTAAAGTGCTTATCTTGTTATCTTATGATTGAGTTTTTAATAAAACGTTTTTTTTTTCAATGTTTTCTTGACTTCCTGATATGGTCGCATGAGATTTACTTTACAAAAACGGGGGGGGGCAAAATTAAGGTTTTGCCCGGAGCGCCAAATTTTCTAGGGCCGGCCCTGCTTATGATCACGCGACTGGCCAAATATAAAACTAAAGGCCATACCATAGCCTAAATTTTTAAATTCTTTTTAGTTGGTAATACTGTAGGTAACTCTAGTTACGTGGTTGCCACATTTAATAATTATTTATCATACTGAGACTTTTTGTTTTGTTTCAAAAGGAAATACATTTGAAAACACAACAAAATTAAGCAACGTTGGGTATAATTTTGAATAAATTTTAAATAAACTATATCAACATCGAGGCCAACGCTTAATTTGCCTTAAATTTTAACTCATTATTTTTTACCAAAGTAACACCGTGTTCCGAATCCGAACACAGCACTGCATTTGTCGACACAGAAAGTAACTGCGGCAACGTCGCTTTTTTACATAATCACCTTCACTTTTAAGGTCTACTTTTTCCCAATTTGTAAATTTTTGAAAATATTAGATATTTATCAAAATGAGTGCCTGGAGAGCAGCTGGTTTAAAGTAAGTTACAACTAATGCCATAGAAATTGAGTAAGTCAAACAATTATAATACGAAATATGTTATTTAAATAATAGGTTATGCAGACCATTTATGCATAACATTTTAATTTGTTCCCGTTTTATATTTTAAAGGATCTATCAATAGGTTTACAAATATATTATTTTTGCGATTAAGCTATTGATTTGTAATTTAATACTATTAAAATATATTGTATAACCATTTTTGAGCTACTGTTACAACTAAACCTGTATATATAAGTTAAGGTGACCAATCGTTCTTCTTTAGAAAGTAGAGTCCTTTTTTTGTAGGTTCTGTCCTTCCTCGAAAAGTGCCCTCCTATTTGTCCTCCTTTTCGATATTTTAATCTGTTAATCTCTGTATGTTAATACTCTAGCTGCAACACTTATAGTAAAATTCAATATAAAGGACATTTCTGGCTCTGAAATTTCCAAGAAAATTATATATTCGATGGAAAATTACTTGTTTAATTAAATAATTAAAATGAATGTAAGCTTAATTAGCGTATTTTTGTTGTAATTAAGGTTTCATTTATTTATGTTGTAATTTTTTCGTTCTCCTTTTCATTGTAAACAAATTGGTCACATTCGATACCAAAGCTGCATAATGGATATTGTAACAATATGTAACTTACCATGTGAGTGATAATTTATGTAAAAAAGGAATCTAAAATTGTTTAGAGGCCTTTTCACATAAGACATGAGGTCTGTTCCAACACAGGCAAAAATGATATTTCTGTATACACTTTTTGCATAGAACACATGATTTGTATGTATCTGAAAAGTAACTATATACTATACCTACCTTCTAAATCAATAAACGCTGTTTGTTAATTGGATATTAAATGCAATAGCTTAAAAAAATAGGGATATAAGCTAAAAAATAAAGAAAGAAGATTACAAAATATATTTTAACCTTTTACTTTCAAATATAACACTCCAAATGGAAAACTTTATTATTGATGAGGATAAAAAGTATATTAGGTATTTCCAAAGCATAATCAACTGGAGTCTTTTAGCCCATATTAGTAATTGTTGTACTTGTTTTAATGTTGTCATAATATAAATAATCTTCGGCAAAATGAAACCTGGCATGACATGAGAAAAGCAACCAATGCAAATAAAAAAGCTGAAGCACTTCATGAAACATTTTAATGCCTCAATTCCAAATATATCCCAACTTAAAAGAAAATTTAATAAAAATTTGAGTTATATGAATACAGATGAAATAAAAAGACAAAAAAAACTAATCTCATTTTTACAGGACGTCATTAAAAACAAACCAAGTGACTACAATAAAAATTATATAAACAAGAGGAAACTAAATACAATGTATTGCTAAAAAATGCAAAACAAAATAACTTACTTCAACAAATTAATAATTCAGACAATAAATCTAAAACTGTATGGCAAATAATAAATAATGAAACAGGATGTAATAACAAAAATAAAGTAGAATCTGAAATCAATATAGAAACCTTTAATAAATATTTTGTAAATCATTCATTTGATATAGTAAAAGGCATCCTCAATAACAATAAAATTGACTTAACTTGTTATAACCGAAAACATCAATCATTTTTCTTAGCTCCTTTTACTGAATCTGACACCATAGATATAATACAAAACATTAAATCAAAAAGAACTCAAGATATATATGAAATTAATACCTATTTATTAAAAAACTGCGCCCAAAATATTGTTGTTCCTGTTACTGAATTGATAAACTGTTGTTTAGCTGAAGGTACCTTTCCAGATATTTTTAAAACGTCCAAAGTTCTACCATGCCACAAAAAAGGAGATGACTCAGTACCTCAAAATTTTCGCCAAATACATATTTTACCATGTTTTTCTAAAATACTTGAAAGTATTATAGTAAAACTAATTGTGCATTTCTTTGAAAACAACAACCTGTTTTTTGTGGAACAATATGGTTTTAGACATGGGAGAACAACTACAGATGCCATGCTGGCTTTAATAAATAACATTCAGGTGTCTTTAGAAAACAAATCACAATGCGTAGCTATATTCACTGATCTGTCTAAAGCATTTGAATGTGTAAGTCACACATTGTTAATCAATAAACTAGATAAATATGGCATTAGAGGCATTGCAAATAAGATGATTGCTTCTTATTTGCAAAACAGACAACAAAGTGTTTATTATAGAAATAAACTTAGTAAACCTTTATTAATGAAAAGAGGTGTTCCACAAGGATCCGTACTAGGCCCTTTATTATTTTTAATATATACCAATGATCTTCCATCATATATGAATTCAAATAATGCCGAATTACTAACTACCATGTAAGCAGATGATACCAATTTCTCATATCACTGCAATATAACACATCTGACATAGTTATCAAAAACTCTAAGATTATGACTGAAGCTAAACAATGGTTTGATAGCAACGAATTATTTTTAAATCACAATAAAACTGAAACATGTGTCTTCAGGTTGAACCAAACTACTAGTGAAACGATGAAAAAAAGTTGGTCATATTATGGTTAGCTATAAAAAACAATTTTAGCCAAAAATTTTTCCCTACAAAACTATAAAACTTTCGTCTGAAACGTTTTTTTTTATAAAAGGCAGTATTAAGCTGTAACACTTTAATTTGAACACCCAGTATATGTATTACTGAGAATAAAATATTTCTATTTCTATAGATAACCATCTTGTTCAGCAGTCTAGTCTGTATTTGGTTTATTTAAAATGTTAATTCATTATTGATTTCTAAGAAAAATTATTTTGGATAAAAATTGGTGCTTCACATAAAACTAAATAAAAAAATTAATAATATTGCAATTTTTTTCAGCCAATTAAAAAATGTAACATAATAAACTAGATTAAAACTTTTGAATTTTTATTATTTTTTGACTTCCTTTGTAAATCAAAAGAATTGTTTATTATTTTAAAGTTAATATTTGGTTTTAGGCGAAGCATCTTTTTTTTTTGCAAAATCAGTCATTAACAAATTTTCCATGTATGGTGTGAAGTTTTTGAGTCTCATTTTATAAGTAAGGTCTAATAATAATAATAATAATAATAATATAACAACTAGATGTGACATTATAATATCTACCCAAATTATTTGAGTCTTAATGACAATATTTTGATGGTGAGCTTTGACGCTGAGAAAAAATTTAGGAATTTTAAGACCTTTATTCTTACTACCTTATTATATATTTTATGATATTTGAAAGTAAAGATTTTAAAATATTTTTTTAGCTACATCAACTTTTCCAACATTGCTGCCAAACTTTTAAGGCAAGCCTTAAAAGCAGATTTAAGAGCAGAAGCTGATAAAAGGAGTGGTACACATATTAAAATCACCAAATGGCAAGAAGGAAAACCAATAAGTAAGTTTTGAGATCTACACGGTTGTCAAATATTCTAAAAATACCGATGTTTAAGATAAATTTCTCATATATAGTTTAATGTTCTTATTTTTGAAGAATAACTGGATCACTGTCAATTATTGGTGCACTTACCTTATATGATATTTATAATTGAATGTCCTGAGAGACATAATTATAGAAGTAGTTGTTTTGTGTTATATATCGTCGCTACATCTACATGCATTCTCATGGCAATTATGCTTTGCGTTTGGGGGTACGATGAGTATCACGCCCTGCACCTATTTTATTTAATTTTTTCAAGTTTAGGTATTAAAGAAAAGCATTTAAACTTAATAAACATGTATAAACTAAAAAATAAATATAAAACTACTAGAAATGTTTATATAGTATGGGCGATTGGTGACATATTTAGTCAAAGAGTTAGTCGCATAAAAAATACTATTTTCAAATTTCATCCATATTGATTTATCATATTTTGCAATATTACAGATGCAAGAGAGTAAATACTAGTAAGTTTTGAGTGAAATATTTGAAAATAAAAATATTAACACTTATTTTGGTTTTAAGTTTGAATAGTCTTGATTTTATTTTGAAGTGTGATGTTTTTTAAGTAACCTCTAACAATTTTTTTTTAATAACTCTTGTTTTCATGAATGTTAATGGAATTATTTTGATACTAATGTAAATTTTTCTTGATTTTTTTCAGAGGAATCGACGTACTAAGCCATTAAGTTAAGCCTCAAATATTTGTTGTCTAGTAGCATTAATAACTAAATATGTTTTTTTTTTATTGTGAAAAACTGTATCAAAAGTTTATTATGTAACTTACCTCTACTTTTGATGTAAGAGTGAATAGTAAAAAAGAGGAAAGTAAATAAATGTAAAAATGTAACATATTTATTATATAACCATAAAAACCAATATTATAAAATATATTAAAACCTAAAGGTCGATTTATCTATAAATTCTTTGGAAGACCTGCGTCGTTCAATAAACTATCTTCTACCATTCTTGGACCATCGCCGATTTTTGTGTGAATAATATATTTAAGAGCACCAGGTCTATGCTTCTTTTCTTGAAACATCATCTCGAGTTCCTGCAAGGTAAAAGTTGTAACCATAAATCCAAAAAGTGGGTTATAAAATCTCAAAAATGACAATTATTTAGAATTATTAGTCATATCCTTAAATTTTGATAATATAATAAGTTTGATGTCCCATAGATAATAAAATTCGAACAAGGAACATTCTCCAATCTTTAATATATTTAAAGAAATATTTACAAGAAATTGTACGTATTTGCATACTTTTACCTTGTTTATTGGTTTTTGCCTAACTTGAAGTCCTTTCAAATATCCTGTATTTGAAGAGGGAGGAAATACATAATTAATCACAGACAAAAATTCTTCTGTCTCGGATTCTAGTAAGTATATACATGCATTGGGACCAGCATCAAATGTATAAGCAACCTACAACAAACAAAAATTATAGAAGGATAGTATAAGATAGATCAAATGATTAGATTCTCTAAAATTTATAAATAATAAGATTAAAAGATACATTTTCGCAAAAAGTTTCTTGAATGTTTCTGTCGGTAATATCACAAGAATAAATAATAACCAGAAGGATATCTCTCATTTAATTCCTTTGTAGTTGATGCCGACGAGCTATGACCTCGTCTTTTAGTTATTACTTGTATTCCATGGGTGCACCGAAAAATAGGTCGGGAAAATAAAAAAAATATTGGGTACCTGCTGATTTATTTTTTAAGTTCATACATTACAAATATAGGAAGTAAAAGATTTATATATATATATATATAAAAAATATTTACTTATCTTTCCAAATGACGACCTTTTTGTCTTTTATAGTTTTAAAATTTCGGTTAATACCTTAGATTAAAGAGACCGAAGATGTAACATTGCACACTGCGCATGTTGTCTATTTTAAGCCAAAGTAACCCACCATTTGAAAATCATTGTTGCACGACGCCACCCGAATTGCTCCGATTTCCATTCAGCGATCACCTCCACCTGAGTTTAATCACCATTGACAGCTGTTTTTTGATTTATTTGTTGGTATTTTAGCAATTTAAAGTGTTCTAGTTATTCAATTTCAAGTTCAAAATGTCACGATGTATCTTGAAAAATTGTATGTACTTATAATACAAGTACTATTGTTATGAATATATTCGTTTTCAGCGGTAAATATTTATTAACGTTTTGACATAAAGCGCCATGATTCTCTAGGCTGAATACTTCAGATCCGCATTAAGGGGTTTCAATAAATATTAAGCATCAGAAATCAGATTTCATATTACTTACATAAATTTACAAAAGGGTAAAATTTTGAACATTTAATTTAAATAAATAATATATAGGCATTATTGCTAACGAAATTTTGTATTTAAAAAGTAGTTTTATAAGAATGTTTTCTAAAGGTAGTTTTTAGCCCTTTTTGGTAAATAAATAAGAGGTAAAGAATCATAGTTGCTAGCTAAATTTTATTTTTATAAGGTATTTTTATAAGAATATTAGATGAAATACAGGATGACCTACTTAAAATTTCAAGGTTCATCTTATTTGCGGTCAAATCGAAAGTGACATTGAATTTTCAGTCTTAAAACAAAGTAATCTAGTATAAGCCCAAAAAAAATACTAAAGTTACAGGAGTTAGGTCCGATTCCACCGTTGTGTTAAACGGAGATTAAAATGACAGTGTTAATGTAAAAATGTCATTTTAAACTTCGTTTAACACAACGGTGGAATCGACCCTTAGTCACGTTAATAAAATGTTACATTACAAACCCCTAAACAACTCGAACATAATTTTCGTTTACTAAAAAAAATCCAAAATTTAGCAATATTTATTTATTATAAAATCGAATGCGATTTCAAAGATAACTGGATCAAAAAATCCGAATCTCTAAATTTTGGAGCTAAATGCTCAGATAAAAGTAAGCGACCGATAGGGGTTACAAAAATAATTGATTTATCGATAATTCTGATATTTTTTAATGAAAATCGATTTATCCGCTGTTTTTAATAAATTATTTTCGTTTTTTTTAAGATAATGTATTAATCGATTTTAAAGGAAATACAAAAAAAGTAGATTTATTTAAAATAATCGATTTATCGTTTAATCGGTTTTTTAATTATTTGATTATTTTCGATTTTTCAAAGATATTATATGAAAATAATCGATTGAATATAAACGGTTATTTTACATAATTCGATATTTTTGTTATTTTTTTAAAATTACCGATTTATTGGATAATCAGCTTTTTAATAATCAATTATTTTCGATAATCGAATAATCAATTTCAAAGGAAATATGAAAAAAGGATTATTAGAAAATAATAGATAATTCGTTTTATTTTTTGGAAAATCGATTTATCATAGAATCGGCTTCTTAATTAATTGGTTATTTTCGATTAAGCGATTATTTTGGAATTATTGATTATTTTTGGTATTTCAAAGATAATCGAATTATCGATTTTAAAGGAAATACAATAAAAATAGATTATTGATAATAATCGATCATTCTGTTTTTGTTTGAAAATCGATTTGACAGTTAATCGACTTTTTAATTAATCGATTATTTTTGAAATACAATAAAATAGATTATTGGTAATAATCGATTTATCATAGAATCGGCTTCTTAATTAATTGATTATTTTCGATTAGGCGATTATTTTGGAATTATCGATTATTTTCGGTATTTCAAAGATAATCGAATTAACGATTTTAAAGGAAATACAATAAAAATAGATTATTGATAATAATCGATTGATCGAAAATAATCGATCATTCTGTTTTTTTTAAGTCGATTTATCAGTTAATCGACTTTTTAATTAATCGATTATTTTGATTAATCGATTATTTTCGATTTTTCAAAGATTATCGAATAATCTGTTTCCATGGACGAAAAAAAAAAAATGGTTTATTTGAAAATAATCGATTATTTAAAATAAACGATAATTCTATTTAGATTATATTTTGTAAACACTTATTTTTTCGGTTAATTGGCTTTTTAATTAATCGATTATTTTTGATTTTTCAAAGATAATCAAGTAGTCGATTTTAAAGGAAATGACAAAAAATATATTGTTTGAAAATAATCGATTGATCGAAAAGAATCGATTATTTTCAATGATCGATAATTTATTTCGATAATCACTAATCCCTAGCGACCAAATGACTTTTAATAGGTTTAAATTTTAAAATGTTATCTGGTTTCAGACATATGCATTTCTAGAGTTTTATGTGACTCATCCTTCATAATAATTAATATTCTTAAAGAAAGAAGCCTTAATATACTTTTTTCTGAGGTTACAATACAAAACAGCATTTTCTCATTTTGACTAATTTTTAATAATATATAATAGCCGTAGAAAAAATATAATGTTCAACTCATAAGGGTAGATTTGCAGTATTAGCCTGCGCACATGCTATTTTTATAATACTCGTAGACAATGAGTAACATTTTTTGCTCTATTAACAATATATTCTATTTCAACATTTTACTGTAATCTCTTGCAGAAAAGTCCGTAGTAAATAAACGCTAACGAAATACTCTATAAAAGGTCTTCTCTTTACATAAAATGTCGTGGCATCTGTTTGATATTAAAAAATCACGTTAATTTTATTTCATAATATAAAATTCGATTAAACACATTTTAAATAAACCTAATAGTTCATTAAGATGCTAATAAACAAAGTCCGGTCCCTGTCACAGAGTTCGGGTCGCCGCCCAGTTCCCCCACTCCGTTAACCCTTCTTTAGAAATTGGCAACATTTGCGCAGGTTTAAAACCGGTGTATGTTATATCTCTGCTCTCTTTTATCTAAGATTAATACATTTAAGAGTATAAAATAATCTTATTCTACCGAATAATTTTATTAAATAATTATGTGAAATTTTTTTACATGGATGTGAAAAACTTCCATTTCTACAAATATTTTGAAACCTATTACATTTTTGTGTATAATAATAGTTTCAAAATTTATTTGAAATATTACCTCTAAAAAGGAGATACATTTTACAAAATCATTGTGTGGCATGTTTAAGTTACCAAATAAATCTAAATTGGAGCTGTTATAAGCTTTATAGTAACAAAGATGTATCGTCCAAATTTTGATAGGCTTTTGAATATTCCTCGCAAATCGTACAAAAATGTATAGATAGGCATTTTTTTCATTAGGTAACCCGAAAAATACCTTTCGAAATTCGTTTCTAACGTGGATTCTTTTTGATAACTGCTATCAATTTCTGGCAAATATGATGTATGGGGATGTGTATGAGCTACGAATGAATTTGTATCCTCTTTAATGACATCAGATACTCGCAGAAGCATATTATCTATGTCATTCTCTCAGTTTTGAGTTTCTGAATTGAGTAGCTTTACACAGAACAACTTTCTAAAAGTTCTTTGAAATTGAATGGCTGTTATATTAGCACAATTACTATTTTGCTGTCTTATAAGACCAAACAAATTTTCTTAAGGATCTTGGTTTAAATGTCTAGTAAAAAGAAACTTAACGTTTTTTGTTTTAAGAAAATCCCATAAATGAAGAATGGAGCTAATTGTTATTTTAAAACCTGTTATAAACTTCATTTTTTTTAGTTACATCCTCGCCTAAGTTATTAAAAACTTTTAAGTTGTCAAACAGCAATAACATCTCATTTAAAAATGTCAGTTCAAAGTCGAGATCCTTAAACGCCAAATTATATTTCTTTTTTGACCGTCAAAAATAGAATAAGGTCTCTCGGGGGTTATTTGCAAAAAGTTTTTACATTGAATATTATTGGAGCCCATATCACTTACGGTAACAATAACGTTCAGTCCAATATTCCTTAACTTTTTAATAGCTTCAAAAACTACATATTTTAACTCTAAACCAGGGCATGTACTATTGTAAAAAAAAATAACTCAAAGGTTGCTTCCAATTAGAGAAAATCCTCCTGACCAGATGGTGGCTGTTCTTGCTGGTTAGTACATGGGTTCGGGGCCTCAATTAACTTTTCAAACAATGTGCCCTCCAGATATCTAGTTTTGATAATAGGACGCACCCAAAACCGTCTTCGGTTTCTCTTTGTTTTTCACCTTAAGTACAATAAATATAGCAAATATACCTAAATTGTTACCTCTGGCATTATTATTTTTCTTTATAGAATATTATTATTTAGGTATGTTTATTCTTTTTTATCAACCACCATAAAAAAATCCGTCGATATCTCGGGACTGTATTGTCGAATAAATTTTTTGGTGTGAAAGATCAATAGCCGATATCGTGTCGATGTTGCTGTCGTGTCGGTATCGTGTCGTTAGGTCTGAAAACGCTCATTGGGCGCTTTTATACTGGGCGACACGTCAACGACAACGGTGTCGGTGGACGCCTTATCTCATGTAATTAATAGGAATGCTTTCACACTTGACGACTTGTTGGCACGGGGGTTTGATATCATATGCACAATACGTAAACACGTTTCTGCGCATACTCCTCCGCGCTTGGGTGCTCTAAAGTCCGTTTTACAATAGCAAAATTGTATTAAAATATAAAGCACATTGATTAATTTAATAACATCTCGTTCAGTAACACACAAAAAGTGTTGTTTCAAAAATTTTAATTCATATATTACAACAAACTAAAAAAAACATACCTTCACTTAGTTATTTGTACTATGTGAAGATGGCTTTCTGTCCGCTGCATGACTGCTGGCTGCCCGCTATAGCGGGCCCCGCGCGCGCTGTCAACAAATAACATCAAAATCAAACAAATGTGTGGTTATGTTATGATTTGGTTGTCGACGAAAACATGTGAGTGGAACTACTTTTATTTTTTTAGATATAAGTTATTTAGGATTATTTAAAATCAAGTAAAGGTATTTTGATGCTTTAACATGTCTTTACCAGGCAGAATTCATTATAAACGCATAATTTCTAATTGTTATAGTACATTTTATAAGGCCCATTCCAAACGTAAATTTTAAGAACAAACATTTTTAAATTTCCTTCTGATATTGATCAAAGAACGGAATGGTGTCGTATTTTAAACATTCCACTTACAACCCCAATCATTATACATTGTGAAAATCATATTTTGATACAAAATTGTTTACAAACACAAATCGTTCAAGACTGCTAAAAGAATTGCTTTACCTTGCTTTAGCATCCTCAAATCCAGATACACCAAATATAGTAGTACTTAGTAATATTGTTATCACACCTCCAAACAGAGTCCTGTGAGGATAAAGTTCATTTTAATAATATATACAAAATTAAAAAATGAAGCAGAATTTGAGTCAGGCCACTAGTTATGTTGCAGGGTTTATTAAGAAACTTAATAGTTTTGACTGCAAAGAGTGTAAAGTTAATTTACAGACATGTTAGAAGACCATCGATACTTTTACTTATTTTAAAGAAAATTATGATAAAAGACGTTTTATTTATGTACAAAGAAATGTTATTGAATTTCTTTCAAAAATTCTTGAAATAGTTTCACAACTTTTGGGTCATATTGACAACATAATTCAAAAAATTAAACTTTTTTGCCAGACCATGTTGATTTTAAATGGTTTAGATCAGAGGCGACTCGTGGCCTAGTCTATGAGGAGACTACTTTTTTAGGCACACCCTATATACTTAATAAAAATATATGTCTATAAGAATTCAAAAAGCAGAAATATTACATTGTATTCTAATAGAAATATATATTTGTATAAAGTATATAGGATGAGCCAGCTTCCTCACAGACTAGGCCACAAGCCGTCTCTGGTTTACATATAAAGAACATAAAACAGACGTCTTTTCTCATTTAGTTGAAACTTGTCTACTATTAATAATAAGAAAGTATTATAATGATAGTATGAGGACTGATGCAATGTCTAAAAGACAAACAAAATGATTTGAAGTTACTGCATTTAATTTTTTTCTGTTTCAGTTTATATGGATGGTTGCTTTTGTCTGATTTCCTAAGATTCAAGAAGAATTTGTTGTTTTGTTTTTTGTTTATTTTAAAAATTTATTTACTTAGGCATTAGTTTTCATATCAAGTAAATTAATTATTTGTTATGCAATTTCTGATTTTAGTTAGCCAAAGATAGTTAACGAACTGAAATAGTAATGTAATGTTTGTGATATTAGAGTAACTTTCTTAAACAATCATTTATAAGACGTCCGGGAGCGCCATAGTAAATAATAATAATAATAATAGACATTCTTGCTTCGCATAAGCTCGCTTGTATGGGGGTGAAGTGCATGAAAAATATTTTTTTGTATTGCCATCTCTTTGATATATTTTTTATTTATTTTTCTTGGGAATTTTTAGTAAATATAATTATATAAAACTTTGTATGATATTTATTTTATCCCTCATAATTATTTGTCATAGAATTTTACATTTTTATTGGGCATTTCATAATTGTTACAAACAGCTAATAAAGGAAAATTTTAATTATAATTAAGAGGAAAATTTACTTAAGCAATTATCTTTTTCTAAACAATACGAAATAGAGCCACAAATATTTCTATAGTTTAATTTTACTTTTTAGTGAATGAAAAATATATACCTTCAGGTAAAAGTGAAATGTCTGTTTTTCTGGAGCCACTATTCCGAAATTTGATTTAATTATTTTCTCACTTTTTGAAATCTTTATAAAAACAAAATTTTGCGATTTATTGCCATCAAAATTTAATTAAATTTTGTAAAAGTGGCTCCAGAGGAACATATTTTAGCTACACGTACATGTTTTTTATTTCACTAAAAAATTAAAAAAATTACTATCAAAATTTTGTATGGCTATATTTCGTATTAGTTAGAAAATAATTGCAAAAGTAAATTCTCCTTTAAAAAAACCCGCCAATTTTCAAATTAAATATAAAATTACGGGTAACTGCATTACCGACAGAGTAAGAGTTGATGGTAATACTGCTGATAACTACATTACCGACAGAGTAAGATTAGTTCTACTCCTCCACCCCACAGGTCGTTGCAAGCAAACATGTTGCCAAATTTCTACAAAGAAACGGCAACTCTTAATAATCCTTCCTCCATGCTTGTTGGTGTCGTGTCGTTGCTAGAAACGACATGTCGTCGAGGAGCAAGCTGTCGTGTCATGGCGATTTTTCGTTCAAAATAGTAATAGTTGTATATTTGAAAAATCATCGGTGTTGTAAAATTTTGGGCGGAAAAATTGCCAGTTTCGACATCGTCACATTAATTGAACTAGTGGAATCTAGTCTTGTATTTGGGAGAAAACGCATGAACATAATAAAAACAAAATTCTTTGTGATAAAAAGAAAATGATTAAGAAACTTATTTGGGTCATTAGGCAACTTCTCGAATAGAGTATAATAGGTACCCTCTAAATATCTCACTTTAATATTTGGATGTACTTATAAATGCCTTTGCTTGTATCGTCTCAAATATAATAAATAGAGTAAATATAATTAGTTGCTACCCGCCATAATGAACGACACACAACAACTGCATGTGCCGTGTCGTTGAATGTGTAAATCACCTACCGGATATCGTGTCTTCCTCATTTTCGTCTCGTTATCGTGTCGTTGCCGCGTCGCCCAGTGTGAAAACGCCCATTTACGTACCGAAGCAAAAACCGGGGAAGTCCCATTTTATAATTCCGTTGCGAGGAAACATTTACGATTGCGCCATCCATTTATACACGACCGAAGCAAAAACCGGGGAAGTACCGTTTTATAATTTCATTGCGAGGAAACGTTTCGGATTTCGGGGAAGCCCCCTATATTCTGTACTGCTTTACGGCGTTTTAAACTTAACTGTTAATTAGAGGAGATAAAATAAATAAAAATATTCTATTTAAATGGAGAGTTCAAATAGAATGAAAGCTAAAACGGCGCTAGTAGAAAGAGAACGGTTGCTGATTATTTTGATCAGGGTGGTAGTAAAGAAGCGGAAAATAAAAAACATAAAAGTATTGATAGAGGTAAAAGGAGCATCTTTTGGATACATTTTGAGACGATGCAGACAGATAAATCTGCAAACGAAAAAGCGACGTATAATATATGTAAAAGGACAACCTCTTTGGGTGGAAGAGGAAGACATGCGAACACTTCAAACTTAAAATCACATTTGGAAAAGTATCACGATGAAGAATTTCGCAATGTTACAAGAAAAGGTAAGTTGATTTTATTTATTCATTAAATATTTTAATATTGTGTAGTTATTTGAATGTCCAACATATGGGAATTTGTCTTATTAATTGCACAATCAAAATACAAATATTGCCGAAAGTTGGTGCATGTTTGATATTAGTTTTAGGTGCAAAATATTCTGAAGAAAAATTGTTTTTAATTAAAAGGTATACCAAAACAGCATCCTGAAAAAAAATTCAACTGTTTTCGAGCTAGAAACAATTGTATTTTCCCCCTTTAAACAATTACAGCAGGAAAACGGTTAAATATAGGTAAAAACTAATTTCACTACTGCAACTTTTGTATGTAATACTTTTTTGTATTTCTGTAAATAAGGGAGTTATGGGTGCCTGAGGCACTATTGCAGGACCATGTATTTTTTTTACTTACCTTGTATTGTTTTACTAAAAATAATTCACCTGAATAATTATCGAACATGCATCAACTTTAAAAAACAGAAGTTAATTCAGGATATTCAGACGCGTTGGAATTCTACTTACTATATGCTTGAGTGTATATTGGAACAAAAAGAAGCAATAAGCTTATTCAGGGTGTTTCATAATATATGCGCAGGACTTCAGGACGTGATAGCTCGTCCAAAAATATGAAAAAACGTTTCTATTAACTTACCCTCTAAAATGCACCATTTTCGAGATACCAATTGAATTGAAAAAACAATTCTACGCCACTGGAAAAAGTACGGTTTTGAGATGCCCATTTCAACCACCAATGTTTTCTACACAAAAAGGTACTCTTGGTTATACGCTCTAAAGTCGACCAAATTTTAATGTTGAAATACATGATCAATTTTTGGAAATGAAACAAACTTTGATTTTTCTCGAAAACGGTCGACTTTAGAGCGTATGACCAAGAGTACCTTTTTTGTGTAGAAAACATTGGCGGTTCAAATGGGCATCTCAAAACCGTACTTTTTCCAGTGGCGTAGAATTTTTATTTTTTTTTTTTCAATTTCAACACCCTGTATCTCGAAAATGGTGCATTTTAGAGGGTAAGTTAATAGAAACGTTTTTTCATATTTTTGGACGAGCTATCACATCCTAAAGTCCTGCGCATATATTATGAAACACCCTGTATATTGCCAACAATGATGGTCTCACTCACCTAATTTACTCTGAATGGGAATTGGTAAAAAGCATCCTCAATATTTTAAGGCCATTTGAAGAAATTACAAAAACGGCAAGTAAAGAACAATGGGTACGTTCACCAGATGTCAGCAGTTAACTTTAAGCGCTAAATGGCTGGGTATTAACATCCGGCAGCAGATGGAAATTGGCTGAACGCTCCGTTGACCGTTGAGTCTCTGTCTGTCACAGAACCGTCAGATTAGACTGTTGAACACAACCTTATATTGTTTGCAATTATTGGCTGATGCTGATCCTCGTCAGAAAACACCAAACTGTAGGTTGACAAATTTTCTGTATTAGTTTCCATAATATGTACGTTTTAAAAATCAAGAAAGCACGCGCAACAATGAACTGTCATCTCATTGCGCATGTCTAGGCATATGTTGAGTCGGCTCAGCGCAAATTCATCGCGCTGGGTGAAATTTGCAGCAGATGACATTCAGCGTAAAGTCATCGTGTCTGCCAAACGCGATCGCTTACTCAACTACTCAACTGTTGCTGTCTGGTGAACGCACCCAACGTTGCATTTCTGAAGTTATTCTATTAGTCGTAACCTTAACAGAATACTTATCGAAAGAGGGACCAAACTTTGCTGGTGTAGGTACAATAAAGAACGAACTTCTAACAAGTTTAGAGAGACGACTTGGTGATCTATTATTATAAGCTAGAAAATCTGTATGTTGCCACATTCTTAGACCCTAGGTTTAAAATGCATTTTTTTCCAAAAGATACTAAAGAACAAATATCTCATATTAAAAATATAATAAAAAGGCAACATACAGCAGCTGAAGTGGATCCAGAATCTTTGGAAGATGAAGATAATATTCCCTTAAGCCATTTACAAAATAAGCAAAATACATTTTGGGAAACTTTTTACAGCATTGCTTCTACTTCGGCTTCCGAGACCAGTACTACAAAATACATGAAGCAAGGAAGTGAAAATGAAATAATATTATATTTGGAATCTTCAACTCTATTAAAAGATAAATCTTCTTTTGAGTGGTGGGAGGCAGAAAAAAATAAATTTCCCAGTTTGTACAACGCAGCTTCAGTCTACCTTTCAGCACCCGCTGGCAGTGTGTCAAGTGAACAACTTTTTAGTGAATTAGGTAATATTTACGAGCCTAAAAGAAATAGACTAAATACAGATAGGGTTGAAATGTTGGTGTTTTTGCATCATAATATCAATAAATTAAATTTTAAGTATATACTGTATTTAGTACCTGCTACAATAGGTATATTTGTTGTTAGTAGTGTTAGGATTTATTTTACCTTTATAGTAAAAATTTTACCTTTAGAATAAAATTTATTTTCTTTAATAAAGCATTTCATTTATGCACTAAACAGCGTGAAAAGTGCAATTTTTTTTTTGCCGATACGATACCGACAATCTGCAACAAGTGCCGATATACCGATATCAATATCGGTATCGTTCTATCCCTAACAATATTTGTCCATTTCATTAAAATTGTCATCTTTAATTTTAAGTGTTTTGAACACATTGGAGACTTCCAAACCTAATAAGATTCTAAGGGATTGCGGCCCAGGCAGGCAAAATAATTTAGTTAGAAGTGTTTTATAAACCTTTGGGCCAAATAAATATAGTGATAAACACTTAAATTTAAATTCGTCCGAATACCTTTGACCTTTAGCTGATTTCATGCTTTGGGTAATCTGAACATTAATAAATTCTGCGAGTTCTTTGGATGGACACAGTGAATACGTACAAGTTTTGTACTGTTCGAGAGTGATCGTGTCTTCCAATTTTTCTTGAAGCTTCTTTTCAAGATTGTTACATTTATTAAGAAGGACCTGGTTGTCTCTTTTCAACACTTTGTTCTCAAATTTCAGGGCATTGTTGATCTTCCTTAGTTTTTCCTTTCTTGGGCTTCGAAGTTAGTTCCTCTGACGTTTGGACACTCCGTGAAGGAAAACGTATTGGAGACCGCTGAATCGATTCTGTCTTATCGGAATGGTTGAAGCTGATGGTTTCAAAAGCTGATATAAAATACTCGTATATGGCACTTGAGAGGTTTCAGTGCTAGAAGTCGATGTACTTGGACCTGCCTCGTCAATGATGCCACTTGAAACGAATTTGAGTGGAACAGCATCTTGTCGCAGTATTTGTCTCTTTCCTTTTTGAAACATCCGTGGAGAAAAATGAACATCATAAATTCTATAGCACTTATGAAGAGTGTCTACTTTGTATAATAAATCTGGTCTATAACACGCTAAGAGCCAAGATTTCGCTCTGAAAAAAGATTTACACTTATTTTTCATTTTATTTAACTTGATAGCTTCACACTTCCATTGTCTGGGATAGAGTATAAATTTTGGGATAACTAATAAAGCTCGGGAGATAAGCACTTAAAAAACAAAATATGGATGCAAATATGCACAAAAAACACTCAAAATATGCACTAAAACATATATTTTTATATTTAAATGTGAATTTAATTAATAAGTAAAGTTAGACATTAAATTAACTACACTTTGAGATCGAAACCGGACATTTGGGCGCGATAATTATAATTTTTTTCTAATTGGTATATTAATTAAAAATTTTGGACTTGTAAGAGTTTTACTACAATAAAGTTTAATAAAAAAATAGATTATTATTTTTATTGATTTAATAAAATAAACATTAAGGTATGTATGAATAATAAATGTACAATTAGAGTAATTCCAGAAAGAGATTAAATATAGAAATGCCGAATATTACCTAAAGTGTATCATAACAAGCAATTATTACATTAACACATTGCGTGCCACGCTGTTATCGGGAAAATAGTCCCAGGGGCCAAACTACATTTGCAATATTTGTATGTATTTACTCAAAATAAAGGTGTTTTTTTGATAATTCTGTTTTTTTTGTAGTTTTTAGCTATTTTTTTTTTTCACTTTTTTTGTGTCTCATATATGAGCGACATGGCCCTGAAGCAAAAAACCTAAGAGATATCACCATTTACTTATCAGAATGAGCAAAAAGGAAAAAAAATCCGTCGCAGGTGTTCGGTGTGCTATGCGAAAATTCAAAAAGAATCAGGACGCATAGTTGCAAAAACCAAAGCTAAATTGACATACAATTGATTCATGTTTCAATGAAAAACATTAATTCTTAAATTTTTTCAGTTTCTCTTTTTCTTTTTGCAGTCGAAAGACGTTTTCATTTTGTTATTAGAATAAGAAATCCCAGAATAAATTTTGTTTCATTATTAGGAATAGGCTATTTCAGAATAAATTTTGTTCTATTAAGCAAAATAAATATTTTTTCAGTCTTTTTTTTCTTTTTACAGTTGAAAGATGTTTTCACTTTGTCGTGGTAAATTTATTTTTCCAAATTTGCTCAAACCAAAACTAATATTACTTTCCACAGAAGCCAAGCTTGAGATTCTCCATTTGAAATAAACGGTAGTGGGTATCACATTTGATATACATCACCAGAAAGTGAGAGATGCGTGTCTCTCATAAATGAACGACGAAGCCCCCGGCGAAATGTTTGTGTCTCGCATATATGAGAGACGTGGCACGCAATGTGTTAAGGTATTTATAAATAATAAGGGTATAATTAGAGTAATTCAAGAAAGATATTGGAGATTAAATATAGAAATGCCGAAAATTACCCAAAGTGTATCATAACAAGCAATTATTAGAGATAATTAAGTTCTGATAGGTCATTACTACCTGGCATTGGTTTTAAATTCTGAAAATTACCTAAAATGTATCATAACAAGATAATATTAGAGATAATTTAGTTTTGTAGGTCAAAAAAGAAAGATTTTGATTCTTAAAAAAAGGTATTTTTGTATATTACTTGAAGGTCACGAGCCCTCGAAGATCACGTGATGGGAGATATCCTTCTGGTTATTATTTATTCTTGTGCAAAAATTATAGAAGGATAGTATAAATAAAATATATACCAAAATGTAAGTAAAGATAAAAAATTTTTTTTAAACAAGTATAACTTACCCTATTAGAAGATTTGCATTCATTATAAGTATGAACAACATCAGAAATAGAATGAGAGGTATCGTTCATGTAAACACACGGAGGAAACGTGTCCAAACAAATAGCATGAAACTGATTCGAATCTTCCATTGTAATCTTAGCGAAAGATTCAAAATCTTTTCGAAATATGGCCTCTTTCATAGCTTCTACTCTTTTCGGTACGCATTCGCTGGCTCTATATTTAAGAAGGTCTGATGTTTCTACACTTTTTTTCATGCCAGAAGTTGAACTGTATTTTTTTCTTTCATCGTTCACCACAAGAATTAGAACTCTCATTTCTGGCCAATGAGCTACTGGTGCTAACTGAATTGCTATAGAATCTTCTCCAGTTGGACGATCTCCCTTGATCCATTGAACCTTTTTAATAAATTGTTTTAATTTTACATTGGCTAATTAATTTTTATAGGGTATAATTAGGCGAGGTGGTCACTTAGGTATCTCTAAATAATTATTTTTATTAGTAAATGGTAATTACATCTAAACGCTGTACTTATGAGTATACCAAACATAGAGCCACTCCAAATCCTACATTTCCTTTGTTATAGGCATCGAGATTATAGAAGGGAACACAGTGGATCTTTTAGTCATTTAGTCCAGTAACTGAAGGGAACAACCTGTCATTAAGTCGGTCCAGATTTCAGTTGTGGCTCAACTCTTAGGTCTCGGCGGTCGCTTCCAAGGTCGAAAACTTTTACCAACTCTGCTGCGTCGGAAAGAGCCCAAAATGGACCCTAAAACTGGCTTCCCGCCAATATCTTCCACAATATGCAAATTAGAGAATGTTTGTTTAGATAAAAAAGAAAGATCTTATCATTATCTACAAAAATGGTCCCTATCATTTTTGTCGGAAATTCGACAGGTTTCGTGATAACCGCAATCAAAAGTCCCTCGTTCAGCCCCTGCTTTATCTCTATAGAAATGCTGATTAGCTTGTAAACGGGTGGACAAATTGTTTCAGAACTCGGTCAAAAATTGATATTTTTTGATGATTTAAAGTTCATTACAATAGGAAAACCCAAAGGTATCGATCCATGTGCCTTAAAGCCTGTTATTTTCTGTCAAGAACATTGAAAAAGGGGTCAAAGTTGCGTTTTCCTACTATTTTGGACCACTTTATAGTAATTCATATTTTTTTTTTTTTAATAGTTTTTTATCCCATTTTTGTTTTAAATGGGATCTTGAGATGTCTGGAATGATCTCAGAAATTTTTTTCCAGTATCTTCCTGGCGTTTTAAAACGAAATTGATTTGTTTATTTGCATTTTTCATACGTTTTCGGAGTTCTAGAAATCTTTGAAACAAGCAGTAATTAAAAACTCACACCATTTTAAAGCTTAGAGTGTCTACTTTTTGAATGTATTTTTTTTTTTTAATAAAGTTGCTTCATTTTCCAGAAATCGGGAAAATTGATCACACCGGGGAAAACCGGACTTTTTTTTTTAAATACTTCTTGTTCCCCGCTGTTAATTTTTTGAACATTAATACCCAGACCGAAGTGAAGTTGATATTCTCACCTTTCAATTTCTATCAATTGATTCCCGTATGTGAGCGTGGTTCTTAACTGTTTGTTAGAATTATCTCTCCCATTTTTACGCTCTCCGCCTGAGATCTATGATATTCCATCATAACCTAACCTTTAGCCCTTTAGATACAGAGCTTTTAGCGGCACTTCTAGAAGATTTGCTTTACAAAGTGAGTGTAAATTACCAGAAAAATTAATGAAATGAAGTGTAAAAGGGATCCGCCCCCCCCCCCCCCCCCCCCGGAACTCTTGAAGATGATTTTTTGTCAGTGCAAGACAGGCTGCGAGAAGAATTGTTCATGTTTGAAAGCCGGACTGAAATGCTCGCCTGTCTGTGGTTCGTGTCAGTCGACACAGTGTTTTAATTATAACAAAAATGAAGGTATTTTCCCGGAAGAATTAGAGATGGATCGAGACCCAGAAGGGGTTGAAGGGGAGGAGGATGAAATAGCTGTCGAGACAGTAACACAGGGGATGGAAAAACAGGGGGAAGGGACGCGTGGAGGAGGGGAAGGAATAGAGCAAGACGATGAAGAGTATGATTCTGATGACATTGAATGGTTTAACGTATGATAAATTATAAGCATTGCTATGTATTTCGTATTTTCAACATGTTTTTCATAATAAAAGAAATTTTTCAGAAACTTTCTTATTTTTCTGAAACCCTGGACCTATATTGTTCCGATAGAAGTTGGCGAAAGTTTTGCAAAAGATGCAGAAAATATAAAGGGTCTTCTCGGGTCAATATTCATCACACTCTAAAACTAATAACCCACTATTAGGCAAAGCGCCGGGATTTGAGACTGCCACATGAAAAAAATTTTTTTTTGCACTTTTCTATTAAATTTTGCAACGCAAATTACACAGACCATTTGGCAATATAGATGAGACCCCCCAAGCGCTACTTTACAGAAAAAATCCCGTAGAATCCGCCAATAATTGTCGAAAGATCGATAGGTGCCCGGATTTCCATTCATAGGCCCCATAATTTAATGAGCAAAGGTATGCCGCTGGCGCCATCTACAATTGGTCTCCAAAGTCCAAAACATGAAAATCAATGTATTCCCAACTCCCTCGAGCGGAAATTCAATGAGAAACTAACATTTCTATTCAGTGCAAAAATTCGGGCTTTTTCGAAGGCCGTTTTTGCAAAAAATATTCGTCTTGCGAAAAAAATGGTAGGGACCATTTTTTTAGATAATGATACGATCTTCATTTTTTATCTAAACAACAATTGTCTAATTTGTATATTTAGGCAGATATTAGCGGGAAACCATTTTTTCGGACTTTAGGGGCCATTTTGAGCCCTTTCCGACCCAGCAGTGTTGGTAAAAGTTTTCGCCCTTGAAAGCAACCGTCAAGACCTAAGAATTGAGCCACAAAGGAAATCTGGACCGACTTAATGACAGCTTTGCATATTTTCAGGTCTTCAGTTACTGAACTAATTGTATTAATATTCTATACATAATATAACGCTTTACTTCTAAAACAGACTAGGAAAAAAAGGGGACGCGTAAGTCTGCAACCAAATATTGATCGGCCGCCATTTTTTTTGGTGCCAAAGAAGTTGTGATGTCATTTGTGTACAAAAAGTGAAAACACGATTCTGTAATACCGTTTCTTTTTTGCAACTGCAACTGATATTTGCAGATGCAAGTACGATTTGCAGAGCTTCTGTAATCTCACCCTTAAAGGTGCATTTGGGTTTAGTGTTGTTGTGGGTAAAGTGCTTCTTCAACCTAACCTGATGAAATACAACAATCTTGAACTAAAGGTCGGTTCCAACAACGAGCAGGATTCTGCGCAGTAGCTAACTTGACGGTTCCAATAATCTACTGCGCAGACTCCTGGTGTCAGTGACTGGTTACTGATCGTTGCGCGTTGTTGGAACAGACCTTAAGTGACCTCTCAGATTTAGCCAATGTTTTCGCAAATCATTTTCAATCGTGTTACACAAAACAAAGATAATATCGATTTTACTTCAATTCCATCATTGCCATTGACCTCTCAAATCATGGTAGTTTTTTATTTTACTTTTCCATGTCAATGTATAAAAATACAGGGTGTCTGTAAACGGTCTTTACAAAAACATACCACCCAGCAAACATTTTGGTGTAATTTGACGTCGATACTACCTAAATTATATATAATAAATTTGGTCGCAAAATTAGATTTAACCATAATTAAGTAAAATTTACGTTGGCTCGACGTGGATTCGACATAAGTGGAGAATAAGACGACGTCGAAATTTGGTTTTATTTACCAAAATAGGTAGAATTACATCTAAATCCACATTGTAGTAGCCCAATACGTTTGGTTAGTAATACCTCTCTAGGTAAATTTGACGTCAGTATAACGTTAATTCGACGTTGATTTAACCAAGTTTAGGTAGAAACTACCAAAATATTTGCAGATGACGTATGCCTCCAAGTGTACGAAAAGAAATTTTATACTTATTTGGTATTTTTATCTATATATAAGTAGAAATATTGTAAGAAGTCACCAATACAACTAAAACATATACCTAATTCACATGAAAGATTGAAAATAAATAAATGTCGGTGACAAAAATATATGTAATGTAATTGCGGTGAATATACAGTTCACGCTTGTTGAAATTAATGCGAAGAAAATTTTGTCGTGCATGTTAACAGTTCTACTTAGAAAAATAACAATGCCCTTCCAAAATACTCTCTAATTAAAAAATATGAGAAAAAAATATGATCGTGTAAAAAAATAATAATAATATTATGAGCTAAAACTATGTTACGTTTGTTGTGTATCACTTTAGAAAATCAATAATGTTTCGTTTTTCGGTATTTTCATTCGTATGTTTTAGTTATGGTCATTTTAAAAATTTAAAATTTGGAATCGTACTTCAATTACGTTAAGAAAATATGGCGTATTGTGCGAATTCGACCTAAAAGTTATTATGACTAAGGAAATCTACGTATTTTACAAATACCTTCTTACTAAGTTGAATTAACTTCAATTTCACGACATATTAGTTAACTTTACCTATTTAAAGAAATCATAACTTATAGGTTTTATAAAAAATTTACCTATAGGTAAATATAACATATTTAAGTCACGTTGTTCTGCACTTGAGATTTTAGACGTTTCACTTTACGATAAAAATCGGAAGTATAACGATATGATTTAATTATTTTTCGAACTCATTTTATTAATTATTTTTCGCACTCATTTAAAGCTCTATCTACACCATACGTAAATTAAGATTACGACTATAATGGTTTTTTTAAAATGGCCGAAATTCTTAAGAATAATGACGAAGACAGTAACTGAACAACCTAATTGTTAAAATAACCTAAATAATATAAATTTTACAAATAGGTCAAGTATGATTCTTTTTAAATTGGTGATTTTTAGTCGCATTTACTTTGTGGTAGATTTTTCAGGTAATTGCTACAACAAAGTTAATAAATATTTCTTCAAGATGACTTATAGATCAACTAAATGAGTATTCGACTATTTGGTTGAAATTAGGTAGATAAACAGGTAGAATTTTGCTACGATCTCGACCTAATATTACTTTAAAGGAGAGTAAATAAAAGCGGCCAAACAGGTTACTATGGAGGCATAAAATTACATAGAATTTATAACCAAATCTACCTAGTTGGATATTCTACTATAAAGACGATTTTTAGTTACTAAACAGGTAGATATTACCTAAATATGGCACCTAATTTTACTACAAAGGAAATTTAACTTTGAAGTAATTGTTGGTTATTTTTTTTTTAGTAGTTTTTCCCTTGTTGACATGGTTAAAGTTACTTTTAAGCAGATTTGTGTAAAAGGTAGATTTCTTGGTAGAATTTACGTAAATTTAAATATAAATTAAAACCGTTTGGTAAATTTACATTAGAGGTAAATTTTTCTAGTCAATTTTACGTAATAATTACCTCAATAAGTAAATTCGTCTTTACAAAGTCGAGTTATAACTAATGTTATAGAAAATGTTTGCTGGGCACATATTCCTTAGACCAAAATAAGTCGATTTAAGTAAAATTACCTTATTACAAAGTTGCTTCGTTTGGGCTCCAGAGGGCCTTGAAGTTACAATTTTTAAATCGTTTTTCTCATATAAATTTAAAACGGCATATGCGATTTTGCTAAAATTTGGTATATTGGTAGAGTTTTATGTGGCAAAAAATGGTATTAAAATTTTGTCCGATAATAATACATAGGCGTAGAACTTGATTTTTTAAATAATTGCACCTTTAAAAATTCTACGCCAATAGAAGAAAAGGAGTTTGAGTATGAAATTTAGATTGCGCAACTCATTTACTTTAAAAAAGGTACTCTTGATAAGACTCGATTACTCTCATGGTTTTGACGAAATTTGCATTTTAGTAATTTTAGAACATAAACAATAATTATTAAAATACAAACTTTGTCAAAACCATGAGAGTAAATCGAGTGTTATCAAGGGTACTTTTTTGTAGTAAATGAGTACCCAATCCAAATTTCATACTCAAACCCCTTTTCTGCCATTGGCGTAGAATTTTTAAAGGTGCAATTATTTAAAAAATCAAGTTCTACGCCTATGTATTATTATCGGACAAAATTTTATACGATGAAAAACATAAAAATGTACTTTTTTCATATCTTCTTCAACACCTCTAATCGAGACTTTTAACAAAAATAATAGATTCTTGCCATGTACGATTTTTTGAGGAATATTAATTATTTGCCTGCAATACGTATACAAAAACATTTATTGTTGGTTTCCATAGTTTCATCTAAATAAAAATATTGTCAAGTTTTAACACCTAATCTCTTGTTAACGATTGAAAGTGTTCTATCTGACTAAATAATTAAAAAAACAAATGCGTGGTTTATTAATATGGCTGTACAATATACCAATGCAGAATATACCGATATGTTACTGACATTAGGATTTTGTGAAGGAAATGCTCGAGAGAGTGCCAGGGTGTACTCTAAAAGGTTTCCAAATCGTCGTGTACCTAGCCACCCAACTTTTGCTGCTGTTGAGAGACGTCTTCGGGAGACCGGTTCCTTTGCTCCCAACACTGTTGATAATGGAAGAGAACGTTTTGTAAGGATTCCTGAAGTTGAAGAAGACATTTTAGAACGTGTTGAAGAAGATCCAGAATTAAGCACCAGACGAATTGGAAGGGAACTAGGAGTAAGTAAAGATGTCGTTCATAAAGTGCTTAGAGAACAATTGCTATATCCATACCATAAGAAGCCAGTACAAGAATTATTAGTCCATATATGCCGTTTTAAATTTATATGGGAAAAACGATTTAAAAATTGTAACTCCAAGGCCCTCTGGAGCCCAAACGAAGCAACTTTGTACTAAGGTAATTTTACTTAAATCGACTTATTTTGGTCTAAGGAATATGTGGTATGTTTTCGCAAAGACCTTTTATATCAACGAAGGTCACACAAATGTCATGATTTGTTTTTTCAAAAAATAAAATAATTGCACCTATAACAATTGTAATTTTAATTAAATAAACCTAATTTCAAGTTAATTGTTAATGGTTTTTTTCTATTAATTATTCAATAAATTGTCGCACGGAATTACACGTGAGCTTTTTGTCACAGATACGCTTATTAGTGGAGCGCCTGAGGCGTTAAAAACATGAAAACCTCAAACTTGAGCTGCAGTGAATGAAATTTAATAATTCTAATAGTATTTTCCAATAATAATCGGGAAAAAGAAGTAAATGAAGGAAAATGAAATAAACTAGTAATTTTTTTATATGAACTATTCAAAAAATCATAAAGTAGAAATTAATATAAAAGTAATTTTAAAAAACTGGGCAGATGGCATTAAAAATTGGGTTTTTTTTATTTTTTCATAGATTCCTTTCCTCAAATCCTGACCAATTGTAATGGGATCACCCTTGAGGTATACCCTTTCTAACAAAAAAAGAATCATGGAAATCGAACAACGTGGTAAAGAATTATTACTGAAAATATACAGTATGTCCCCCTAAGTTGGAATCATATGGAAAACTTTTTTATAATTAATTTTAGGAAAAAAAGTTATTCTTCATAAAAAGTTCTGCATGATCCAAAACTTAAAGTACAGTCATCAGTAGAGCTAGGAATATATGCAAAACGCCATATTTTGCATATGTTGCATATATATACAATTCTTGATTTTGAATGCATATATTGACATTTTGTTAATTTTTTGGCATATATCTGACGTACTAATTGGCTGGACATATTAAAATTATGAGTTTTGGACCAAGATAATATTTAATGAAATGCCTTTAAAGGTCGATTTCCTAAAATTTTGAAGGATTAACTTTTCCCTGTAATAAATTACGGTTAATGGTGTAGGTACTTGAGAGGATTAAATTATAAACACCCTCCTTAAACCAACAAATTTTGCTAAATATCCTTTCAGGTAGTTGTATTAATATCTTCAAATTTCTAAATGACTCAGTTTACTTTCAACTTCATTTCAGTCTTTATTGTTGCGTTGTGTTAACCAGTGGGAAAAATGGCAAAATTAATTGAGTCGTGGGTAAAATCTTATTCACGTGTAAAACATGTTCTAAAATTGTAAGTACTTTTTTATTTTATATTTTATTTTGACCTTTCACAATGGTAAATCAAACGACGGTAAAATATTATTTCAACTCACAGTTTAAAAAAAAGTAGGGCAACTTTACAACGTACGCATTTATTTAATTTAATTAAAACTTCAACATCTACAGGAATTTATTTGTTTTAGATTCCATGTAAAAAAAAGTTTCAAATCGACCAACACGCGAAAACACCCTCACATATAGCAAAGCAGAAATCTAAATACACTCACAGACAAAGTCAACTTCCCTTGAAACAATATTTATAATCTGGATCGTCTAGAAGTGAACAAGCTATTTTTAATGAAGATTTATGCAAAGCTTTAGTTATTTCGAATATCCCTTTAATACGATTAAATAATCCAAATTTCCGATCATTTTTGCAAAAATACTGTAAATTTAATATTCCAGAGCAAAGTATATTACGCAAACGTGGTGTTGACAGTTTGTACATTGAGACTCGTGAAAAAATTCGTGAGATTACCAATTTCTACATTATTGTGGATGAAACAACAGACTCTTGTGGTCGATATATAGCCCATTTAATGATAGGTTCATTACGCGAAGAAATGCAAATTGGTCCATATCTAATCGCTTCAAAGCAATTAGATAAAACAAATAACTTGACAATAACTCGTTTTATCCAGACAGAATTGTCTTCCTTTTTTCTTCCGGAAGCCGTTCCAACAGAAAAATTTTTATTGCTGTTATCCGATGCTGCCCCGTACATGGTAAAAACCGCACAAAATTTAAAAATGTTTTATGAAAACTTAATCCATGTTACATGTTTGGCTCATGGCCTTAACAGAGTTGCAGAAGAAATTAGGTCTAACTTTCCTTTAATAAATGATTTAATTAGTAATGTAAAAAAAATATTTCTTAAAGCTCCTCTAAGAACTCAATTGTACAAAGAAAAATTTCCTGAATTACAGATGCCACCGGAACCTGTGATTACTCGGTGGGGTACCTGGCTTAAAGCTGTCTTTTTTTACGCAGATAATTATGAAAAAAATTAAAGAAATCATATTTGATTTTGATGATTCATCTAAGGGAATATCTAATACAAAGAAGTTGTTTCAAAATCACATATTACCAAAGCAATTAGTGTTTTTAAAAAATTATGCATTTGTACCCAAAATTATATTAGATTTAGAACAAAAAAATTACCTTTTGTGATTTCCGTAAAAATTAAGACGTTTGAATCAGAGTGTAAAAATGTCCAGGGCGATATTGGAAAGACGGTTTTTCATAAATTTTCAAATGCAATTTTAAAAAATGAAGGATTTATTGTTTTAAGAAACCTTGCCAATATTTATTCTGGTAACTTTGAAGATATTAATACTATTCATCCAGATATTTCAGGAAAATTTAAGTTTGCACCTATTACTTCTGTAGATGTCGAAAGAAGTTTTTCTTTGTACAAGTACATACTTACTGATAGGAGACAATCATTTAATAAAGAATTTAGAAAAACATCTAATTGTTCATTCGTTTTATAATAATGTTGATTTGTAAATAGAATTAGTTAATAATTAAATAATTATTAAGTATTATATTAGGTATTTTAAAATAAAACAAATAATAAATATTAATAAACTATTTCGATCAAATAACAAATTACTCTTATTGCATATGCTCTGCATATTTTTCAATTTTTTACGCATATGAAGTATTTTGCGGCATATATATGCGCATATTTAACTACTTTTTGGGTGCATATATTCCTAGGTCTAGTCATTATCAAATTTTTCAAGCTGTATACGAGGTTTGTCAAAAAATATGAATTTTGCTCAAGAGTAAAGTACGTTTATTTTTGACAAAATTTTTAAGAAAATTGCTAAATTCTTCACAAACATCAAGAAAAGGAAAGCGTATCATGTTTATAGTAGAGAAGAGAGAGAATGTTTCAAAAGCTAACGTAATTTCAGATATTTACAATCAATGTGTAGAAAAGTTTATAAAAAATAAGAAAATCTCTTTGTTCGGATAGATCGGTGTAATTGCATATTTGAATGTAATTTTTAATTCTAATCAACTTTTCCTAATGAAAATTTTCGATTTTGTCAAAAATAAACGTACTTTACTCTTGGACAAAATTCATATTTTTTGACAAACCTCGTATACCACTGAAAAAATTTGATATTTGATGACTGTATTCTAGGTTTTAGATAATGCAGAACTTTTTATGAAGAATAACTTTTTTTCCTAAAATTAATAATAAAAAAGTTTTCCATATGATTCCTACCTAGGGAGACATACTGTATAAAAAAATGAAGAGTGATTATTTTCTCATAGACTCCATTATTAGATCTTGATCAAATGTATATGGGACCACTCCTGAGATACCCCCTTTCTAATAAACAATCATAGAAATCCTAAAATGTGGCAAAGAATGATCACTGAACTTACATAAAAAAAAATATTCAAACGAATTGAGAACCTCTTGCTTTTTTGAAGTTGGTTAAAACAGAAATTACTAATAGAAAGAAAAAAAAATTGTCATATTTGCTTTAGTCTTACCCAACCACCGTAAATGCTCCTGCAAGCACTTCCTGATCCCCTTCTTGCTATGCTGGAAATATCACCTTCGATTTTATAAAGCTTAGCTAGAGCTGCTACTAGGCAAGCATAGCCAGCAGCTGACGATGCCAAACCAGCAGCTGTTGGGAAATTATTTTCCGAACATATTGCAATTTTCCAATTTAAAATCGGACACGAAGGACTTGCTCTTCTTTTTACTGTAATAAATAACTGTTATAGAATTTATGATTAATATTAAATACCTTGAATTAAGTACAAAACACTTTTTTTTAATTTGAAATATTTCTGTAATTATTTTTCACAATTTAAATACTTAATGCTATTAATAAGCATTGAAAAGAGAGGTCAATTTGAAAGGAACTGTACCATGCAAAGTATTTAACATCTGAAAAGGATTATTTAAAAGTCAAAACAGTAACAACATATTCAGAATGTGTGATAACATATAATACTAACCTTCTTTTAAACAGCTATCGAGTCGTGGGCTATCAAAGTTTTGCTCTTTACCATTCAACCAGAATTTATTTTCTTTAAACTGAGGACTTGCCTGAATTGTAGTTTTTGCACACATCTAAAATTATATACATTTAAAAATGTATAATTTTATAATATTGAATATTAAAAACTCACAAAATCTGTGCTTAATGTTCCACTGATTGAGTCATTTATTGGTAATATTAATTCTTCGTCACGTTTACCCCCTAAGAAACAAAATATATAATAACATTCTTTTATAAAATATAAATTAATTTGTCTATCAGGTATTCCACTTTTTTTATCAGTCAAATATTATTACAATGCTTTTTCTATAATTCACACCTTTATGAGTAAAAAAAAAATGAAGTTTGAAATTGAAAATAGTGAATATAGAATACAAACATTGTCAAGTAAGGAACCTAGAAAACCAGTACTAGTTAAATTGAAAGAAGTCAACCAGAGATAAATTATTGGAATTGAAGAAAACGATAAAATTAGATACACTGGAATGCGCAATTGATGGTGATAACAAAATAATATACATTAATGAAGATCTACCAAAGAGTGTCCGGATGTTGTATAATAAAGCCAAAATTCTTAAAAACCATGGAAATAGATTTGTATGGTATAAGAATGGGACTGTGTATGCTAGGAAATATGAAGGGAACAGATTTATAATAATTCCCGACAAATCGATTCTATTATAGACTCCTAATATTTTATATTTTTGTCATTAATTTGTTCCGTAGAAGTTAGAATATAATCAGGCCCATGACACTCCCTGGGCGGGAAAAAGACGCGCAGCTTTTACTGCGCTGATGTTTTCGGGATATAACCTATCACTTGTCATAAATCCGGTTAAAAACTCGCTACCATGCGCAGGCAACCCATATTTCGTACACAAATAGTGCACAAATATAAACTTTTGTTTACATTTTATCAAAGTAGTTTTTGTAATACATTCACAGCTTAAAAACGGAAAATTTGTTATTTTGATAGTGGATTTAGATCAAAAATACCCCAAATACACTTCAGTGTGTGTTTGCTCGTTTTATTTGAGGACATTGGAATAAATAGAGTACTAAAAGTAATCAAGCTAAAAAGGTGTGTTATAAAAAGAAAATACATTGCCTTCGACTGATTTATGTTTAATATGTTTTCGTGAAGTATTTCCAACATGCTAGTTACTTGAATGGTTGTAAATTGTACGTGTATAAGTGATAAAAACATCTAGTGCTTTGTGCTCCCTTTTTTTTTGTTGGTGTCCCAGCCCAGCATTCCTAGCCAGCAGTAGTAGCAAAAACATTAACATTGTCTACATTCAACCCATTTACATGTACATGATTTATCAGCTAAAAGCAGAATACAATATTTCTCTGCAAAATGTAAACAACGCTACAAGAAAAATTGCTCATGTATAAATTCAACAATTCAATCAAAATATATTATTTTTAAAGGAATTATATCAACTATTATGTTAATTATAAATATTATAAGTATTTGTAATAGTTGTGTATTAATAAACCTGTTGCTACTCCAAAAAATATTTATTGATTATCAGGTATCAAAAATATGTGTACCTATAGAAATTTGTTGAAATGTTCTATTGCTCTTAATCTTTTTAATGGGTTCTTATTATAGTTGTAAATAAAAATCAACACTTTTTATTCGTCTATTTAACACTTACAAACGTATGCATATTTTAAGTTGTAAGGATACATAGCCTCTTAATGTTTTACATTAGAAATAAGACCTGCGATGTCACATTAAATAGTGAATATGAGGTAAAGGATTTGGGAGTCAGTCTAATTTGAAGTTCAATAACCATTTTTTACACATAACTAAAAAAGCAATAAAAGCATTAGGTTTTTAAATCAGAAATACAAAAAAAAATAGGATTACCACCAAAATCAGATTATATAATGCCTTAGTAAGACTCCATCTTGAGTATGTTTCACAAATATGGATGCCCTTGGAAGCCACACAAATTAATCATATTGAAAAAGTACAAAAAATATTTTTACGGTACCTTTATGTCATAAAAAATACTTGTACCCTTATACCTTAGATCTCTTATAAAACTATGCTCAATAGTTTTAAGTTTAAATCTCTTTTACAAAGAAGAAAGCAACAGGCTGTGATATATTTTGTACTCTATTTTAAGTACAAAGATTGTGAATTGATTGACTATATAAATGTTAATGCGGCAAAGATTAATCTAAGAAACCTAAGTAACAAAAAATTATTTTATTTAGATCCAAGTAGTATATCTCCTTTTAACAAGATGATGGCTGTTACCAATGAGTTTCTTAGCGAGATCCAAATAGATATCTTTAATGTTAGCCTAAGAAAGTTGAGGACTGTACTAAATTAAGTTCACTAGATATAAAGGTTTGTTTTGTTTTTGGTCTTAAATTTCTTGTTACCTAACTCTACATGTAACTACTATTAATTTTTTTATAGTATCCAATAAATAAATTATACCTTATGGCTGCTTTCAAACAATTCTATGTGTGGTCACTTAGTTTAAAGTCAATTTTAAATTAGTGGTTTTACAAGAATGTCAAATAGAAATATGTATTGTGTCTATGAATTTGCTGTGTGTAGTAAATGGCCAATATACATAACTTTGATATTTTTATCACAAGTGTAAAAACTACGAAAACCATATACCTACATATAGTTCCCACTTTTAAATAAATTCAAATTCATAATAAAAAATAACGATTTTAGTCTGCCATACTTGAACTCATTCACAAAAACAAGTCACTGAGTATATATTTGTAAAAAAACTACACTAAATATGTTTCCGTTACAAATTTTTAAATTTAAAACTACATACTTTCCTATAGATTTTGCAGTACCTAAATAACGTATAGAATAAATTTTTACAATATACTAGAAAAGTTTTAGATTAGAGTAATTCTTAAGAAATAAAGCAAACCTCTATTTTGTTACTGTAACCTTGTGTGTTATATTTTTCCCTTGACAAACTAACGTTATATTTTGAACTAAAAGTAATTAAACTTTTCACCAAAAAGTAATATTTCACATATATAAAAAAATTTAAAACGGTTCTGTCCTTCTTACATTTGCGAAGACTGCCCTGATATCTAATCTATTTTCTTCTTCAAAGTAATTAAGTTCAACCGTTGTCTATAAAGGTATCTCACATCTCCCTCATACACACGAATTTGAAAAGCAGCAGAATAAAAATTCAACTAACCAGGTATACCAAGTCCGTGTAAAGAAAACTTTTCATATCCCGAAAACGTCAAGTGTCAACTAAAATTTCTACTTTTAAAGATCAAACGTGCCGCCTCAGAGTGCCAATACTGATTGGTATATATACTGGGATATAATCTTTTATTTCAAATAGCTATTCTAAAAACTTTTAATATTGATCATGTTAATGTACGGTCCTTGATCCATGTTGTTTATGATATCAAATGTTTATTACATAAATATGACCTGGATGTTTTTAGGTATAACAGAAACGTGGTTGAACGATGAAGTGGCTAATTATATTATTAAGAGTCCGCTACCGAGAAACACTTTGCCGATGCTGACATAACCTGAAATTCTAAAACCAGTCTCGGAGGCGTGGCTCCTTTATTCGGAAAGGTGTAAAAAGCATCCAGCCCAAAATGTACTTCGCGCGATTGCAAATATAATTTTAACGTTTCTATAGTAGGACGGAAAGCCCGGTCTAGGATGCATAAAAAAACTGAGGTATAACCAAATTTGACCTTTACTATTTGAAAAAATATGTTTTATTACATTGAAAATGGAAATTGATGACCATCTTTATTGGACAAAACAAAAGATATAGGCAAAAAAACAGAAAAAAAACTTTTTTTTGTTAACTTTGAACACTTAACTTTTTTGCTAAAATAGTTAAAATAACAACTTTTTTGTTTTATTCCTTATTCAATTTACTTTTTTTTGGTGTATTTGTTTTTTGCAAAAATGTTGTAAACTATATGAAAAAACAGTATAATTTAAAAAAAGATAAATTGACAAAAAAAAATTAACTCACCTTGCCATAACTTTCTTATGCAAAGAGCTATTTAAATGTTTTTTTTTTTCAAAACTGTGGAATTTAATGAGCTGCATTTTGTCTCAATTAATACATGGTCTATTTTTAATAATAACACCTGTAGCGGCTTTTAAACGTCGGGGCGAATGCCTCGGCCGTTGAATTGATAGCGGTTTTTTCCATTGTGATCGACGCTCCTCTTGTTGCACAAACACTCTCGCAGTGATATTTTATATCAAAATTTTCGTTAGTTATTTGCACTGGAGCGAAGATAAATCGTAAGTCATTAATTTTCTTCCAAAAAATTCTAGTACTTTAGAAAAATAATAGCTAGGTAATTGTGGCATAATTTTATTATATTATTAAATCAAACTTTTAACAAACAAAACAAAATTAAAACAAATTATAGAAAAATGTAGAGTCAACAGGATCTTCAGTTTCAGTTGTATTAAATAATTTTGAACAGTATAACACTAGACATGTATATTAACATGTAATTATTACGTACTATGATGAAAAATGTTGCAAAAATATAGTTTTCAATTAAATGGATAAAAATATTCGGAGAATTTTATTAACAATTAAAATATCTATACAGCAGTATGTATAAATATTGTACATGTCGATTACATTTTTACCAGAGAAACATTTTACAATATTGTTAATAAGTACACAAATAAAAAATTAGTCTAGCAAATATTAACACTGATCTCATACAAAGTATAGTAAATAGTACTAACTATTAATTCTATATATAATACAAATTTCAAAGGCCTAGCAAGACTTACATTTCTAAAAATGTAAATTTAAGTTCATTTTCAAAAAATGAAGAAGAAAATAATAAAATACCACTATGAATAATTTAGAATACATAATTTTCAAAAACCAGTTTTTGTTTAAACATTACTATATTAACCACCACAGGTACTTTCATATTATGTATCACACTTTTTAATGGGATAAGTCGTCTGGAAGCTATTGTTTTTTAGGATTTTCAAGGACTTTCTGCTTCTTAATTTTGTGATCTGGTTTACTGGTTTGGATTTTTCTTTTTCCTTCTTGACTGTTTTTCCTTTCTGCGCATTTTTCCTGGGCATCTAATATGTACTGAGGATCTCTGATTTTCATACTTCGGGGGTGTCTTGGATCAATAATTTCTGGTAGTAGGCAATTGTAATAAAACAT